CTCAAAAAGGGGCGGGATCAGGGAACCTAACTATAACTGGCAGGTGGCTTACCCTATAAATGCAAATTATAAACAGCAATTATAACCTGCTGCAAAATCCCAAGCATGGGATTGCACACAAACATTTAAACACAGCAAATACATCTGGAGCTCCTGGAACAGCTGTTCCAGAACACTTACAGACATGTATAACAGCTATCTACACCTCTTGACTTCCAGGGTATTTAAGCGTGCCATTCCTTGTATCTTTTGTAGTTAACTTAGGTCCAAATTGGTCCGTTACTCTTTTGCTTGGTTATCGTTCTCTGGGTTTTCTCTTTCTTTCGTGTTCTATTCTCGCTTCTTGTTGTACTTCTTTAGGAAGGTTATGAATTTGCTCCAGTCAGTGTTTTCTCTTGTCTGTTCATTTTTCCTTAATTTCTGAGTTAGTAAGTCCATGTTCATAATATCCATGGATTTACTCATCCACTGACTGAAGTCTGCTGTTCCTTTGTTCTTCCATAGGCGGGCCACACTTATTCGCGCTGCCGTGGTGAGGTAGAACATGATTTTTTCGTCGTTTTTGTCCATGGTAGGGTCATTCATACCCAGCAGAAAGTGTTCCGGTTTAAATTCCAAGTTGATTTGTAGTATTTCTTTTATTTTGTGGTGTACCTCCTTCCAGAAGTTTCTGATGGTCTTACAGTCCCACCACATGTGTCGAAAAGTTCCCAGTTTCTTTTCACATCGCCAACACTTTCTGCCAGATCTTCCTTTACTATACTTCGCTATTTTTTCCGGTGTCTGATACCATAGATAAAACATCTTGACCCAATTTTCTTTTATCTCTGAGGCGTATGTGTATTTTAGTTTTTTTCTCCAAATTCCCTCCCATTCCGACATTGTTATTGTGCGTCCTATCATCCTAGCCCATTTAACCATAACCTCCTTGACTTGTTCTTCTTCCGATGCCCGTAATAGTAGTTGCTGGTATAATCCTTTGATCACTTTTCTCTCTTTATTTAGCATCTTATCCCATACCTTCTCTTTCATTTCAAACAGCCTACCGGCTGTTAGGAATTGTGGGAGTTGCAGTCCAAAACACCTGGAGGGAGGGCCAAAGTTGGCCCAGGCCTGCTATAAGCTCAGAGCAAGCCTCATTCAGGAATCCTGGTGCCTGGAGGTTGGCCCTTTCCCATCCCCCCACCTTTGGGCCACTGAGTTTTAGGGCTGGTCCATTTGTCCAGCATTCCCTTTTGGCCCAATGACCCATGGCCATGTAGTTGGTGTCAGTTCTATGGCATGAAACAGGGATCATGACAGAAAGGAAAGGAAAGGAAGGGAAGAAAGAAGGAAAGAAAGACAGAAGGACAGAAGGAAGGAAAGAAGGGGGGAAGGAAAAGAAGGAAAGGAGAGAAGGAAAGGAAAGGAAGGAAGGACAGAGAGAAAGAAGGACAGAAGGACAGAAGGAAGGAAAGAAGGAGGGA